CCTTCAGTAAAAAAAAATTCACAGACATTTTATGCATGAATGTTTGTTCCTAATTTATTTACTTTTTTACGGGTACCCGGCCCGGAAAAATGAAACCGGGTTTTGAAATCGACGGGCGAGTACCCGGGTACCCGGCACAGGCCTATAAGGTTTATTGATGGCTCACGGGTCATGTGAACACAGACAAATTCAAATTCACAACTACGTTGATGCTTCTTTCTAGTGCACGCGACATGTTCCATTGCAGCTGAAATGGAAAGGCAAGTTTATTTGGGTCATTCTTCCAGCATCGACAGGATTCTGCGGATCAGCTGATCTCCAATAGAGGGATTGCACTTCACTTGTTTCAATGGTTCCTTGTTATATTTACGCCAAAACAATCCATTTCAGGATAAAAATCGGCATTATATTCAAGAAGCACCTAAGGTTGCACTACACCAAATACGCGCCCATAGAAAACAGTGCAAAATCAGACTGAAATAGCGCCGCCTGTTGACTCTCATGAAGAGGTTGGCCTCCGTTTTTTGTTGTTTTTTTTTTTTTTTTGCTGGAAGTTCAAGATTATGGCCAGATGATCATTTTTCGTTTCAATTTTATGGGGGTTAGCAACGAATTTTTTTATTGGCCTTTTTCCGAAGATACCCCCAAAACAGCAGTAAAACTATGCGCTCAGCTCTGAATGTAACCGCCCGCCTCTATCCAAAATAGGCCGGCAATTTGGGGCTTTTTGTTAAAGAAATACCCCGAACTGGAAACTATCAGTCATAAATTCGAGATTTATAGAAATATTTCTATGACCCCTCCTGATAATGGCAAGTCTTATTGTAAAATACCCGTGGGATCACAAATTATTATTGAGCTCGCGCACAGAAGTACGACCATTTGGTGTAATGCATCCCTAACTATTACAAGATGGATCATCGCATCGTGCCCATGCCAGTTTTAACAATCTGTGGCCAAGTATTGCTGCCACAAATGACGCATGGGTCATCCCTCCCGGCTTCATCATCTGTACTCACTGAGTGGTAGCACCTGCAGGCGAGGGGCCAGGAAGAGGACTGTCGCTGGAAAGATGGATCACGGCAGTGGAAGAACTGGAGGAGCTTGGAAAACATGGAGAAGGAAAAGCACATGTCGAATGCGGATCCGAGGTTGGATTGATGGCAGGCAGTGGTATGTCTGTCCGCTGCCTTATGGATAGAAAAAGTGTGAGCAGCATTGGCAATCTCTCTGCTTTGGGTCGTTTGATAATTATCTCTGGAGAACATGGTAGTTTTACGTGACTCTCCAGACATCATTCATTGGGGATCGGATAGACTTTCCCTTGACGGCTTCATTGGCAGTTCGTCAACTACTCTCTGAGGATTGAAAGTTGTTTCGAAGACACTTCTCCAATTGCCAGAATCTGCTCCTTTGCATGGTACACCCCGATGATGAAAGATTTTATGTCTTTTTCTAACAGTCGTTTCCCTAGTATGACCTCGTCTTCGTTGATTTGGATACACCCTTTTAAATGGGCTGTTGCATCTGACGTCCGTGGGTTGCAGGAGGCGACTTGATGAGATATGATGAGATAGCAGGAACAGCATGACTCCTTCATTTGAGGCTTCTTTCACCACTTCTGTATTAATGTTGGTTGACTTGCAATCAAACGTAGTGAAGGGTGGGCAGTTCCAACTTGTGGTGAAAACCTTTCTTGGACCAGTTCAAAAGGTGAAGAGTCAACATAACAAGTCGTGGTGGGTCCTTCCACCCTTGATAGACTTGCATATGAAGATCAGGGGTTGACTCGGTCCCCATCCACATTGCTGCGGATCCCTTTCCCCGTGTGGATCCCTTTCCCCGAGTTATTGCATTGAATTTCCCGCGTGCTGGTCTAATTCGTGTTGGAGAGCAATGATCTTTGGACACGCCAGTCTTGGTAGTATTGTGGGCAGATCTTTCAAACCCTGCAGTGGGTCAAGAACATCGCCTGGGACTTTGAAATGTCTTTCCATCACAGAAACTCTTGTCGTCTTAGCACAAAGGATTTCAATCCTCCCTGGTCTCCAGTCCTTCATCCATGACAAAATTGTTTCTTTTCAGAAATCCATTTAATCAGCTACGCCCTAGCATGCCATCTAGGAGGGGGGGATTTTTGTTGTTGGTGGTTAGCGCAGAGGCACACTCTGCCGCGACGTCCTTAAACCTGGTCCATGCATTAAGGGTATCTGTCACACCTCTAGAGTTGACGTACCCTTAGGGACGACCTTTGGTAGATTAGACACGTACAGACTCTGCTGGAAATGTTGCAACTATTATTTTTTTTTTCAGTTTTACGCAATTTTAACACCTTAAGACAAGCCACTTTTAAAGATATCTAACATTGTGAATAGTATTTATTTATCACTGCATCATATATTTGACAATAGATTACTGCAACTACCATGAAACGGGCAAAGGGTGGGTCCATGATGGCGAAGATGTTCCTTTTCACGGCGCTGCTGATCTGTGCCACCACCGTGGTTCGCTCAATGACCGTCGAAACAGCGGCTGATGCTATGGTACCTTTAATCCTTTTCCTTTCCTTCCCTTCTCTTCATTACAGATTTCTCTCTGATTAAAAATATAATGTCTTTGACTAATGTTAAGGGCACAGGAGAGCAGGGCATCGCTGTACATGTCCAGTTTGTATGGATTCGGGAACTTAGAATACTTGTTCAGAAAATTGTGTACCGTTTCACGAAAGATTGTTTGTGGTTTAGGCGGCTTATCCCTTGGAAAAAAATCTTTTGATTTTTGTTTCAGTTTCGAAAGTCAACCATCATATTTGGAGAGATCTTCGGAGAGAAATGTAATTGCCTGAAACCTGAAAGTAGCAGAATTTAACGCTTAATGTTATTTTGTTCGTTTCCCCAATAGTCTGTATTGACTGCTTTATTTCCCATTTATGGAAAATAGGAAAATAAAAGGGATTATGAAAAGACGGAATGAAGAAAAAAGACTTCATGAAAGCATGTTATTTCTCATGTTATCCAAAGCATTCCATCATACCAGTCTTTGGATAATCCTTTTCTGAATTGTTCAAGTAAAAGCAAAAGAATCACTGACTGAAACAATTAAGACTCATTATAAAATATCTACCCACCAACCACAACAAACAGATATGTCAGTATTTGGTTTTTGTGCATGAACCAATTATTCTCTCAAGAATGTCTGATAGAACTGAATTTGCACTTAGTTTGCTCTCCTGTGGAAACATAAAAAATCAGCATAAAATTTCAGCTTTGAATTCATTCAAACTAAGCAGTAAAAGATGACGAACACGATTCTTTTCTAGATGTACCTGTCGCACTACGGCTATTTACAGCCAATCGCTGACGGCAGTAACGTTAGCCAGGAAGAGATGGAGGACGGCATCTGCAAATTCCAGTACATGGCAAACATACCTATGACCTGTAAGGCAGTAGGCTTTAGTATTACCTACATTTATGTACACACACGTGTGTGGGCTTTTTCAGAGGCCATGGGATACTGCTAATGAATAAACATTTCGATATGCCCTCTCTGGTTTTCTGTGGTTCCCTCTGAAAGGCTTATCGGAGAGGGATGGTTTTTACACGCATGGTGGGGAACAATTAAGGTGCATGTATAAGCAAGGGACGTGGGTTCGAGTGCTTCCCTTTGAAGTCTGTTGAAGTTAAATGTCTATCTTGGGAGTTTTGCCTTCTATTTGTAGCACATTGGATACTCGGTGATGTTCAAAGACTTCTGAAACAAAGTCCCAAGCACACTCGGGTTTGTCTCGAGCCCACAATTTGCTGCTCACTGGTGCAAACTTAGTCCCATCATTTACTATTGACATCTCCCGATGCGAACAAAAAAAACGAAATCAAGTCAAGTCAAATGACCTCATAAAAGTTCATCTATAAAACTTGTTTTCACACGTTTGCCAAAACTTTAGCAAAACGTCCAACATTATCCCAACAAAACCTCCATTGAGAGTGCAAACAAACCCGCTTCTTATATTTTACACAAGCACTTTATCATTTAAGTGATTATACTATAGTCCATTTTAAAACATTTTGGGATATAATTACCGTTCACTGAATTAAAAGATTTCTTTGAACAGAGCCCCTTAAATAACTAAGTATTTGAAAACAAACTTTCTTCTGAACCAAGATTTTTTAGCTAACATCATGCGTTTTTAGTTTAAAAGAAATTTTATTAAAAACTTTGCAGGCTTCAGATGTATTCCTTCAGGACTGAAGGATGCTGAATAAATAACATTTGCATTTTACTATAGGTGAGCTTGATAACGAAACACTGACGATGATGAAAATGCCGCGCTGTGGGATGCCAGACGTTACCGATGAGAGCCCGGTGGACGCCCGGAGAAAAAAACGCTACACCCTTTATGAAAGAAAATGGTCAAAGACGAACTTGACCTATCGCATCGACTCAGTGACCCCTGATATAGCCAGCCTATCAGACATTGAAAACACTTTTGCTCAGGCCCTCCAAGTAAGTTGCCTTCAAAGGCCTTCAAAAGTGAAGATGTGTTGTGTTAACTTTTGTGGTGGAATGAGAAACAGGTGTAAAGGAAATTTTAAAATGTTGAATAAACACTCGCGGTTAATTAATCAAAGGTCTCTCTGTATAATTTTGAAGCACGTTCTTCATTTGAGTAAAATGTGCCTTCGATTCGTGACAAATTCAACATAAATAATCTTTTTTTTAGCAAGAGAAACATTTAAGCCGGTTTATAGTTTAACTTGTAAATCATATTATGGGAAAAAATTTCTCATATTAAAGTGACATTGAGTTGGAAGACCTCTCATCCTGTCTCAGTTGCTCAGTTGTTACCTTTTAGTAGAAGTTTACAGACTTTTCTTCTCAATCCACTGGTCCTACTTAAAGAAACACCGAATCAACTATCAAACCCTCCCCCCCCAAAAAACAAATAACTCAACCTAACCGTCACGATGCACGGGCAAGGCTTCATTTCTGAAGTTTTCCTAAGACGGTTTGTTCACAAGCTATTTTTAAGACAACAGCAGGTCAGATATGACAGGCAATGTACATCCAGGATATCGAATGAAGATTTAGTACCCGTGTTTATTTAAATTTATTTTCTTATTTTTGGAGGAATTCAATTCAGAATTCATTCACATTTTAGTGATTTAAGAAAAAAATCGATTTACATTGCAAGTACCTTACCTATTCATGTCAGGAAGAAATCACGTGCCTGCCTCCGCAAGACTTGAACACATGACAACCTGCGTTTTGGCATTTATTGCTTTTCGTGTTTGGCCTTCGAGGTTTGGGCTGACGTAACATCACTTACATTTAAACGTGTTTTGGGAGACACCTCTGCTGACATCGTCATCAACTTCTTCAGTGGAGAACATGGTGATGGCAATCCGTTCGATGGACCAAGTGGTGTCCTGGCGCACGCTTTTTATCCTGAGAATGGGAATGCACACTTCGATGAGAATGAAACCTGGACCATCAATTCTTCCTCCGGTAACCCAATAAGAATGATTCTGATTAACCTTAAAGGACTCATGGCACAATCATCTCACCTACATATTTCAACTCTCTAAACGCAGAAGAATGAAAACCCCACTCTTAAAATGAGCGAGTCTCTAATAAACCCGCGTTAAAATAGTGAAAATAACTCCAAAAAAAGAGCCATATAAAGGATAACATTTTTCTCCTGTTAATTTTGTGTACACGTGGAAAGAGTCAAGCATTTTTTCAAGAAAACGTGTTTAACAACTGCATGACAAGAAACTCTATCTTTTGCTTCTTAAAGTCGCAAGAAGTAGCCATTACTTTTCACTGGAACAATTTCAATAACTTTTTGCCTCTTCGTCGATACAGGAACAAACCTGTTACAGGTTGCAGTGCACGAGTTTGGCCACAACCTGGGTTTAAGGCACAGCAACGTTACAGGAGCCGTCATGGAGCCTTATTATCGTGGGTATAACCCTGACTTCAAGCTCCATGAAGACGACATCGCCGGCATCCAGGCTTTTTACGGTTAGCTTCAACAGTTAATATCTGATTCTCTGCAACAAAAACATCCTAAAAATTAGCAAAGAGCATTGTAGAATAATATCGAAGAGATTTCTCTTCTTTTACTGATGATCGAGAAACAAACATTTTCTCTGCGAGTACCCGAAACTTTGACATATTGATGTTAAAAAGACTTAAATTCTGCATATGCACTATCCAGATGTGAGTACTTTTTGCCTCGTGAGTCCGACTTCATTAGATCGCCACGAAAACCCATCCATCACGTGTGTATACATTTGCGTCTGTGTAAATAGTGAATGTTCAGTTGATTATAAGTGTCAATAGTAGTTTTCATAAGGTGATAAATGAAATGGAATGTTAAACAACGGGCTCATCTTGCCCGGTCTCCCCCACTTACAAATGATCGAGAAAAAGCACTCCCCTTACTGGAGCTTTCATTTTCATTTCTTTTTCCAGGATTAAATCCAGAGTCTACAACCACTCCATACTCAACCACCACTCCACGCACTACTCCCAATCCAGAACCAACCACTACTCTGGAACCAAGCACTACTCCGGAACCAAGCACTACTCATGAATTAACCACCGCTCAGGAACAAACCACCGTGACCACTCCAGGAACTACCCCGCCTGGAACCTGGAACAACCTAGGTGGGCGCACAGGTCATAGTTATAGTTTAACGTTATACCTGGACAGCAACCAAGCCCTAATGGCCAGATATTGACGGCATCACTCGTAGGTACATGCAGATGTACTGTACATGTTTGTTCTGGGTCCAGTTTCAAAGGAATTAGTGTGATTTACATGTTTTCTTGTCATTTACATGCAATTGTATATTTAAATTTATTTAAATTTTCAGAACCTATTTAGGTACCTTTCCTGTTTTGTCAGCCAAATGACGAAATATCATTCGAAAGTCAAGTACCTCTGGAAAGCCTTGGTGTCAATTTTATACAAGTTGATATGTGCTAAGCCTGGCCAGAGGCAACTGACACATGTAAACGTTTTTCATCCTTCAAATGATAATAAGTACTTCATTTTCTATTTCCCCCATTCCAGAAATGACGACCAGCCCACCAGAAACGTCTATACTTCCAGAAACAAACACCCTAACCATCGCTCAAGAAACAACCACACCTCTAGCAACAACCACTCCTTCAGAAACG